ATATATATATATATATATATATATATATATATATATATGAAACCACATTGGGGGGGAAAAAAGTTTGTTTAAAACCTGGACAGGAACAATACTTTAGGATAAAAAATTCTTCTGCAGTATTTCTAGGTCAATAAAAAATTTTAAGATAATTTGTGATCATGTTAAGGTCTTTATACAAAAGGTTTATTTTTATTTTTTTTAATGCCTCTAAATGACATTGTGTTCAATGAAGTCTATTTCTGTGCTTTGACTGTCCTTTTAAAGCCCTGTTTTAATGATTAATTATCTGTGGATTACACGATGACTAATCTAATCTGCATTAACACTAGTCAGAGTTCGTAGTCATTGTGTGGCCATGTGTGATAGCACCACAGCATGTTTGTTTTTCCAAGGTCACTAGCATGTGAAATTATACTGCACGTTATGCTGTAAGATGACTTGTATTAATCTCTATACCTGCAGGCTTATGAATCAGCTGTTATGAGAGTGAGGAGTGTGGGCCCACATTCTGCCTTTGCAGTTTAAGGGTTTTAAAAAGCAGGTCAGGAGTGACTAAGATTGTTTGAGTTCATTCAGCTTGAGTGATGAAATGTGTTTCACTACACCTCACTAAAGAGATGTGAACTTGTTCTCCATCAGGGGGTGCTACTGCTTTCATGAAGCCTCATGTGACTGTACAGAGAGATTTGGTTCTTTTTCCAGCACACTATGTGTCCTGAGAGGTCCCACAAGCCAGCATGTGGCAGTTCTCCCCTGGTGAGGAGGGGTGGACCCCCACGAGGGCCCTCCTGGCAGATGCAGCTGAATATTCATCAGCTTGGTTGTGTGTCTCCCAACTGATTGATGGGCTGGTATGGTGCTCAGCTAATGGTTGAAGAATACAAGCAGAGGAGGAGCTTTAGACGTTAATTAATCTTTTGGTCTCCATTAAGATTTCTGTATGGATAATGTGGAGCCGGACTCTGACCGGCATCAGGTGCAGTTTTGATTTTAGCCCAATTACTTGGCCGAGCCTCATTCTGCACTAGAAACATCTTAAGACTTTTATTTTCTCTGTTCTTTGTTTTTGTAGCTGCCAGTAAATGGCAGATTGCCCGTTTTTGATTATAACCTTTGCTCTTCATTTGCATGATCATCGCTTTTTATTTTTTTTCTCATATTTCTGTGTTTGGATAGACTTTTTCTGCTGTAGGTAGAAAGTGAATATATGCATGATCCAGCATGTCTTATGCATAGGAACAAAACAACCTCCAACAAACACTGGTTTCCTTGTAAATTGTTGATATCACCATTCAGTTTCAGATCAGGTTGGCTCACATCCGACCTTTTCAGTGCCTTTTCAGAATTTATGGTTACTTTCACAGCCTTTTTTCTCTTCAGTGTTTCACTGAGCGTCCAACTGGGAAGTCTGAGTTAAAGATCAGTTTACCTTGTATGAGAAATGTAAATGTAAATATTTGCACCACCTTCACTTGTGTTAGTTTGAAAGGTGTCTTCATTCAGTGTTTCGCTTTTACAGTGCCCTTCAAAATTATTTATATTCATGATGTAGATGGTTGTTTTTTGTTTTTTTTGTTTTTTTTTTGCTGTTTCTTAGTATTTATGTTGATCTTACAAAATATGAGAGCAATCTCATGTCCCGCAAAGTAAAATCTGGATTAAAAAGAAGAAAAATTCCAGACAGAAACTCTCCAGGTCAAGGTATAAATTTCACTACATACAGACGGACATTGCTAATGCCAATAATTATCACTCGTTTTGAGCAAAATATTTTCCTAATGTGGATTTTATTTAAATTCAGTAATCACAGATTATCTTAATTATCTTAGATTTAAAGATGATAAACAAGCATTCAGGATCTTCTTTACCAAAAGTGCCTGTAATTCTGTAAGGTTTTTGCTTACTCAATACAAAAAAATCTAACATGATAGCAAAAGTTTATAGCTGTGCAAGTAGCATGAAGCGTTCTTGATTTGTTTTGCCCCCCCCCCATTGTTAACTAACAAATTAACAAAGAGAGCTTGTGCATTGTCTGAATTATTTCTATGTGGCTTACTGAAGACTGGCGTCAAAATCCATTCTGCCCACTAAATTGCTGGAAACGTAAGTGCAAAATTTGCTTAGTTTCTATTTAAGAACTGCATCGATGCACAATTTTAACATGTGATCTGAAAATCCAATGCTTTCAGTTTCTTTTAATACTTTATGCAGTCCCTGTAATTTGGCACAGAGAACCATATTGTTGCCATTCTTATGTACAAAAAGACTTTATTTAAACCCTGAAACACCTGTGCAGTATTAGCAGCAATGTGAGTCTCCAGCATGAGGCCCTCTGGCTGCAAGCCCTCAGTGATGAAGTGAGCTGTTACTATCAAGTGTTAATCTATTTGTGAAAGATTATATAATTGAATAGTGACACTGAGTGATGGAGTCTTGTTAACCTGCATTAATACTGTTGTTCCGGTCGTGTCGTGTCGTGTCGTGTCGTGTCGTGTCGTATTGTATTGTATGGTAAATCATTGCGCATTAGTTTTTCTCATATGTAAGGTGTAACTTGGCTGTAGCATTTTTAGCATTTTCCTGAATCCAAACTCCCTCTGTAATACACTGTCCAGAGTGTCCCGATGCCTCTTCTAATAAGTAAATTCAGTTGCACACATTGCAGTTACAGGCATTCACTTGTGTGTGTGCACACACACAGCGCTTGTCAAAACTCTACAGGAGTGTTGACTAGAGGGGTATAAAGGTCCACAGCATTCAGCTGTGAAGCAGTGGAGTTCTTTGGAGTGATGGAGCTCCATCCAGTACCGTTGGGATGAGTTGGAGTCGCATTTGAGACCTAGAACTAATCATCCAACGTCAATACCTGACCGCACTAATGCTCTTGTGGCTGAATCCAATCAAGTCCTCACAACAACGTTCCAACATCTAGTGTAAAGTCTTCTCTGAACAGTATAGGCTGTTACTGCAGCAAAGAATGAATCAACTTCCTATTCCTAAGAAACAAGCATTTACAGGCCTTGTATCTAGTGCTGCAAAGTAAGCAGTGCTGTTAGTAAAGACATCCCTTGTGTTTTGCAGAGCAGGCTTTTGAACCAGTGTTATGTCGAATAAGTGGAGATTGTCAAGACCTGAAGTTATGACTTTATTAGAAAGTCATACTTCACCATCTTCTTTTGAACAAAGTCATTATACTTTTGCAAGTAATCTCAATCTATGTTGGATACAGAATCTTTAAAATGGGCATGTGTTGTTCTACAACCTTCCCACCTTTTGTTTGTACTGGGTGTGGAACTGACAATAAAATGCTGCTTGCACAGTTTACATCCACTTTCTTATGCTTATCTTTTGCGAATCTCAGAGTGTAACCCCACAGGATGTTCTCTTGTTTTTTCCTGCAGTGTTGCATAGATGCTAGATATAGTAGCCAATACATTGCATGATGCATGCACCTACACATAACGCTCAGAGAGACTCACTAGCTACTTGGTCCAAACTTCTTCTTGTAGAGGTAACTACAAGATTATAATCCAGACGCAAAAATAAAGAGGTTGTTGCCAGGGGTCTTGGGTGGGCATGTAAATATCCAGGGCTTATCCCAGCTCGTCATAGAATTGTTTTGGAATTTTGATATGGGCCCACAGACATTATCATATAAAATGTGCAGTTGGTACTTTTTTTTCTTTTTTCTTTTTTTTTTCTCTTTTTTATAAGGATTTATATATCAATATAAGCTTTTTGAGGAGTGGGTGAATGTGACCCCGAAAGAAACCATGGATGATGAGAATGATGTATAATCAAGTTGGGGTTAAATGGGTGAAATGTTAATGTTATAAGGTTCAGGTACTTAAATATTTGGGGCTGTTCCTCTGAAGCCCAGGCCAGGGGACACCCCTAAATGAGTGCAGTTCACCAGTTGAATCTTAGTTCATCTTAACTGTTTAATGGCAGCTTTGCTCTAAATGATTTTTGTCACAATTGTGACAAATGGCCCACGGTGACCAATTTGCCAACGTGACTAAAGGCAGCCTGCAATAAAGTTTGCAGTTTTAGAAATTTTGGTCCAAACTCTTGCAGTGTGACCAGGGCTGTGACACACGTAAAAGGTTCTCAATAGGGAGCAGCATGGAATGATAAGCTCAATGATGAGCTCACATACGAACAAAAACGCTAGCCTGACTTAGCCTTTACATATAGCGTGACTTTTTCCTTGAAATGGCTGAGCTAACTACCACATAATGGACAGAAAAGTTAACTCGCTGGCTTCCAGCTCTCTTTGGCAAATGGACATTCCATGTTACAGTCCATTCTTTGCCATTTAATAAGCATTTTTCCAGGCAAACCATCGCCACTACTATGCTATCATATAAAGGTTTTATTTGTTTTGGTTTTAGGTGCTAGCAGAATATTGTCATTGTCATGTAGGCCTTTTGCCAGATAATCATCCTTGAATAGTCGGAATATTAGCACACAGGGGGCATAACTGATGCCTCACAGTCTGCCACAGACTTTGGCCAAGTTTTCAGTTGCAGCATATTGTGCAATGTGGCATGCATTAAGCGTGTAAGACCACTGTTACCATACAGTATACAGTGGCCTTAATTAGCTTGTTGACTTAGAGGTGTCAGCTGATCTTGCATAACAGTCAAAGAACAAAACATAGGCACTTCATTCTTTCATGCACAAACACAGCAGGTTTCACATAATTTGCTTTAATAAGCTACAACTGTGAGTGTTTCATGCTGAAAATAATTTTCCAGTTACCTTGTGGCCTAATTGTTTTGGTTTTAAAAGTGTAAATCTAAATATATGCTAGTTGTCCTAGATTTACATGGCTGTGCAGTCTTGTTGATATTGATGTGATGTGTCTGTTGTCTTCATGTGCACAGAGGTCGTTTGAGTATCATACCTACATTTTAATTAGGCAAAACTCGCTTCATTTGTTCACATCTGCAACACTTTTGCTGTTGCCTAATCTTCTCGCTTTCTTTGTTTTCCAGATCCCAGATGAGTTTGATAATGGTAAGTCAAGTCATTTCTCCACTACTGTCAAGGGTCTTTAGAATTAACTGATACATGAAATACCTGTTGAAATTGCTCAGATTGTATGTGGGGCTTGCTATGGTATTGACTTTATAAATACATTGAAAACTGGAATATGGCAAACAAGCATTTTTGGAGCACTGTGGACTTGTTGCCTCTGGTGAGTATCTCACATATGTGCACGTTTAAGTGTTAAAACCATCAGCTTTAATTTAAAAAGGTTTTGTGTGGAAAAATCACTTGTAGTAAAGCCCTACAGGTTGTTCAGCAGGGGTTATATAACAAATTTGCAAGCTCCAGATTAGAGCTAGCTAAAACTCTGGATGTGTATTTCCTGTACTAGTGTGTGTATCGATTTACAATTCAGATATTCTGATATGAGGCTGACGTCTGAGGATCACCTTTTCATGATACCGTGACTTTCATTCTGTTTTCCACTGGTCTTGTTTACTTTGTGGTCTGTGAAATGCAGCTGGGCTGTGCTATCGTGAATGGTTTTAATTATGATGGTGGAGTAAGACCCGTTCAGAAGGGGTCATGAGTTGCGAGTGAACGGGGTAGTGATGTTGCTCTAATACATAGGTATGGTAATAGAAAGTAGAGAGCCAGCTGTGCCTTTCTGATTTCAAATGAGATAGCTAGCTGCAATTTCTTAAACGCCATGCTCTCCTAGCGCAGTAATAATTGCGTAATTAACTGCATGCGCGCCCCTAAAATGCCCCTCCATGCATGCGCAGTGCCTCGATTTATAACCTCTGAGCTTAGAGCCCTTGTGTTGAACACTAGAGTGTTTAATGCCATAACGAAGGGCGATGATTACTTTAGGGACCGTGATGAAGCACCCGTTCCCCGAGGGGAGGGAAAAGCAGGCTAGCTGCCTCCTGGCCTCCCGCTCACCCTCCCTCCCACAGCAGAAGGCCAGCGGAGGGATGTAGGCCGAGCCCCTCGCCAGAGCAATCCTTGGGGAGGCAGGAGCGAGGGGAGCTGCTTGGCAAACAAGCGTCTATCTGAAAGCCTTGTAGCCTTGCCAAGTGACGGCATTCCTCTCAAACATGCATATGTATGGCCTACATGTGTAAGCCCCCCCGCTTAATCAAAAGCTGCATTACTGGGTTGAGCAACATGTCAAGTTCTAACAAGTCACAGGTTCGCAGGTAGCCGGTGGCTGAAAACATTAGCTCAGCAGTTCTCTCAAGGGCATGCTGGAGAAGATATTGCTAAAAAAAAACAATTGATGAAATATTTGCAAAGTTGCCATTGTGATTGATTGGTGTGGGTGTGTGGGTGTATGGGCCCAGATGTTGTTGAGCTACAAGGCTAATGTTGCCCTCAATCACTAGCAATCAGTGGACACTCAAATCTTTTATGTAAAGATGTTCTCAAAACTTCTCTCACCCTGCCCAAACTACATTCAGGTCTTTGCTATGGCCAAGCAGCCTTGTTGATGTGAGGTTAAGGGGACAGTTTGACTCACTGTGAGCTATAAAAATATATTTCGCCATATAGTCAACTGGCTGTTCACAGCTTTCAGGTACACTGAGAAGTTTAGTTCTTCTTTATAGTTAACAGTCAAGTCTGGACACACTTGTTACCTCATCTTTTACCTCAGGTAGGTTTGTTTACACCAACAGCATGTTGCATATCGCTGAGAGATAGGTGCCCTCAGGCAGACAAAGCCTGCAAAAACCTGAACAGTGTGATGAAGGCCAGGTCTGGCTGACTGGTCATGTGCTGACTAAGTCTGCATGGTTCTCAAGTCCAGTGGGGTGGGGTCCTCCTTACACACCTTGCTGAAAAGAAAGGCAGCATCCACCAGCCGTTTTTCACTACTGAAGACAGCAGCAATTGACAGCATGGGGGAGAAAGAAAAGGACAAACATAAGAGCTTTCCAAAGAAGGAGAGGGAAGAAGAAAGGCAATTGAGTAATAATGGCCTTTGGCAAACTAGCAGAGCATATGCTATCCCAGTGGCGGATTAAAGGAGGCCTTTGTTGAGTCCGGGGGCCCAGCCATCGATCTTTCTCTCGCTCCCTCAGTCCTGCGTTTCAATGGACAGAGCCACAGACCCTCTCTGGAGCAACAATAGGCCTCCTCTCCATTACACTGGCAAACAAGGTTAGCACAAGGAAACTCTTCAAAGCAAGGCCCTGAACTTTTTTTTTTTCCCTCGTGACCCGTCAGATCAGGCTTCGTAACGGTTCTTGCAACTGTCCACTTTTTTGGATTGTTCTTGACCTTGCCAGACAAAAAAGAAATTTTAATGGAATGAATAAAAATGGGTGCTTATTTGTTCTGGTCAGTGAGGTTTTTGTTGAAGCACCGTTATCAAAGATAAGGATTATACATTTGTTTCTTTTATTCTGCAAACAATGAGAAGTTATTTGATCTTCACACTATGTAACCCCAAGTCTCTTTAACAGAAATTCTGAACAACTTTACATTATTATAGACTCAAACACGGCTACAAGTAGGTGTCCTCTGTCCTTCCTTCATTAGCCTCAGGAAAGCACTGTTGCTCTTAATGATGTTTGTTTTCCTCTGCCTCATTATTAGGCTGGTATGTTAACAAGCATGTGGAAAAGTTTAAAAATTGTGGGATCAGGTTTCGGGCAGGAGTAGGAACCAGTTTTGCCAAGTTTGCGCAATTATGTTGTCTAAATTGTTTGCTAATGGAGCTGCTCACACTGCTAGCACCACGTAATGCACATTCCTGGAGTATTTCATTTGTTCTGTGTGTTGTTTGTTTGTTTGTTTGTTTGTCCCCCCCCCCTTTCCTGACTGATATTTGCATCTTTTTATTCTCTCTTACAGATGTTCCAGTTATCCAGCAGCTCAAGAGAACCTACAAATATTTCAAAGATTACAGACAGGTGAGCAAAAAAAGTAGCCTATTTTTCCAGACACAAAGCATTTGCTTTATAAAATTCTTTCAAATAACTCAACATTTATTCTCACTGCAGATGATCATTGAGCCCACAAGCCCAAAGCTTCTTCCTGACCCGCTGAAGGAGCCATATTACCAGCCTCCATACACTCTGGTGCTAGAGCTCACTGATGTTCTTCTCCATCCGGAATGGTCGGTATGTCCTTTAGCCCTCTAAATATCCCCATGGGAGCTATACAACAAACCCAGCAGCAGTGGTGAAACCATTCTCTTGGAACATTGTGTTATATAAGAACATTGCCCAAGCTTTTAGTCTGCTGATATAGACAGTATGTAAAGGAACAAGATTTTGCTAAGTCTTCATTTATGTCATTGCGGTCAGACAGAATCTTTTATCTCCAGCAAGCCAACTTTTTTCAGGAGATAAACATCTTACAATTTTTTAATGAAAGTTAATGTTACAAGATTTTATTCCAGGTAATTCTGGACCTTTTCTGTTGGTCCATTTCTCATTACATTTTCTCACAGTGGCAAGGCAGATGGCATTTTATTTAAATTTAAGCCAAAGAGAGGTTTTGTCTTGACAGTGACTAAAGTAACTGTATCACACATAAATGAGAAATATGTGACTCCTTCCCATACTGACACTGCTTTAATGTTAAGGTGCAACTGTTGCTGACACAGGCGTTCAGCTTCGCACACAGCTTGTAGGATCTCCACAGCATTTTTAATAGAATAGGATGCTCTAGAGCAGCCGCACATGAGCCTAATGTCACCATGCCCAATGCCAAGCATCAGCTAGAGGGATATAAAGCTCCCCAGCTCACCATTGTGTGCCTTTTGGGATGAGTTGGAGTGGCGTTTGTGATGCTGAACTAATTATCAAACATCTGTAGCTGACTAATGCTCTTGTGGTTGACTGCACTCAGATACTCACACCAGTGTTCCAACATCTAGTGTAGAGTCTTCCCAGAAGAGTAGAGGTTGTTACTGCATCAAGCGGGAACAAACTTTATATTAATAATGCCTACAAACATTTTTAAAGGTTTTCTTTTTTGTATATCCAACCTGGTTTCTACCATGGATAAGGCCATCTGCAATATATGCTGCTGCTTGGGGGCCTGCCACCTGTTTGCTTCTCTACCTGTAACTGTGCCCCTCCTCCATGCTGTCTCCACCTGGCTTCCTGGGATGGAGAGTCTGCATCTGGGTGACAGGTGTGCCATGGCCCCTCCTGCAACCAGAAACCTTCCCAGCAGCCCACCGCCACGCGCTCATCACAATGGCTTTGATTTCTGATGCCCTTCATCTAAAGCTTTGTTAAAGACTACAGTATTGACTTTGCCTATGACCTGTGCTTATACACATCAGTCAAAGTCAGACAAGCATATTCTTTACACTCATGTAAAGAAACAGACACTGACAAAAGAGTTCTTTTATGAGTCTGACCTAGATATTGGTTCCTTCTTTTGAAGTGAAACCAAGTTCCTGTCACTTCATTCTCTGTCCCACTGAGTTCTGTAAAGTGTGTTTTACCTCACATTGTGGAGCCACATTAAGTTTAATTGAAGTTTCTATAAAATAAGCCTTGTATTAATGTGTGTAATTGTCTTTATTCTCTCCCACTTGATTTCTAGTTGGCCACAGGCTGGCGTTTTAAGAAGAGGCCTGGTATAGACTATCTCTTCCAGCAGCTAGCGCCGCTTTATGAGATAGTCATCTTCACATCAGAAACAGGCATGGTGAGTAGCATGAGGTGGATGGAAAATTTTCAGTTGTTTGCCTGTCAAAATAAAATGAGGGGTATAATAGACTGACTGTGGACCAATAAGGTAGGGATCCACTGCTCTTGAATTTTTACAGCTCCAGTCCATTTTATTAACTTTCTTTTTTAGACCCAAAGCTCAAGCTGTGTGGGCTACTTAAACACATGAAACACACCAGCACATTTCCAGTACTTTCTACCAGCCAGAATCACAAAATAAGTAACATATTTGGTCTTTAATTGGCCAAACTAGCATTTTAAGTTGATAAATGAAAAATGTGTTGCTTATTTAAATAAGATAATTTGCTTATTAAAAGTAGAAGGCCGTTTAGGATAATAAATAACATTTTCGTACAGGTGTAGTATCAACATTCAAATACAGTGCAAGTGCATTTACCTGACTAAAGTTACTTACAGATATGGCTGATGGTTAATTTTTGGCACAAAAATCTGCATGTTCTGTTTGTGCATCTCTACAGTAATGCTGCATTTGCATGTTGCTGTTAAAAAAATATTATTTTATGGCATGCAGCCATTAAAAAGTTACTATGGTGACCAGCGAAAGTAGATGATTATTAAAGGAGAGCATTAGTCAGTGGAGAAGGATGCTCTGCACTCTAATTTTTTGTTGTATATTACTGGGTACACATGAACTTCAACACCTAAGATGTTCAGTGTCCATATATCCATATATAAATCAGCATCCACAGTTTATTTCACGGGTGCAGTAAACGTCAGAAGTTTGGAAAATCAAACTCTTGATGGATTGTTCCCCTGACCACTGCTGTGCTCTGCCTTTGATGCTGGCAGTGGTGGAATTTTCTTTTGCTGATCCATTGAAGACAAAGAAATACCTGGTTTGTGGTCAACCATCTACCACCAACATGTAAAAGTAGCAAAAGGTTGAGCTCTGAAACACCACGATTTGATATAAGTGTGAAAGTGTAATCCTGTTAAACCTGGCTGAGAAGCAACACAGTGGGTTGAAATCCTGTTTGTTTTGGCCACTCCTCTCAACCAGCAAGACTACTTACTGTTGGGTTTGTCTAGTGTTTTAGTGTTTGTTTTGTTTTTTTTGTTTTTTGTTCTGTTTTTTTTTCCTGTAGAAATGCTAAAATCTAATGTTTCCAAAATAACGTTGCCATTGTTAACTCTGTCGTAAACTACACACACTTTGATGGCAATCCTTCTGGCTTTGTTTTTGTGTTTGTTGTTGTTTTTGTTGGACTGGCGGTACCAGGCGTGGTTGTTTATGATCATCTGCCCTGTGTGTGTGTGTGTGTGTGTGTGTGTGTGTGTGTGTGTGTGTGTGTGGTGGGGGGGGCTTTTATATGCGGCACATGCCTTTATTATGTCAACACTGATATGCAAATAAGCCATACACTCGGCCTAATTGGGCTGTTTTTTTTTTTATTTGTAATTCGTTGTTCAGTTCTTTTCTTTTCTTCTTCTTTTTCTTTTACTGACCATGACCATTAGAGTTTGTTAGTTTGTCAGGCTTGCCTGGAGGTCTGTTCAGTAAAGCTAAACAAAACATTTCTCTCTAAAGAGTCAGTGACGTTACATGGTCTTCACTCTCTGCACTGTCTGCTAGACTTAAGTGATATTCTTTTAACATAGAATCTGCTTCCAGTTGAACAGCTGCACTAAGTTCAGTTTTGACAGTATGATATTAAACAGCCAGTAGTCATCATAGTGCTTTTTTTATCAAAACCGCAGTTTGAAAGGATGTTAATTGTAGTCATTAGCGTATGATCAATGTCCAAAAAAAATACCTAGAATAGTAACTTGACATGAGAAGACAAAAATGTTCTTTACTTTTACTGTAAGTACATGTAATGAGATTTTTTTCCACAAGTAATTTTGGGCCATTTTTATTGGCCCATTGTTTAAAAAAGAATCTAAGGGGGAAGGCTGGAGCCTAACTAAATGTACTTCTACATTCTCAGCCTTTGCATACAATTGATTTCTAACACAACGTTCACAAATTACGAACCCTGCTGCCTGTTGCAACTTCAGATTGCCTATCATACATCAGGTTGGAAACTTGTGTTTGTCACATCACAGAATTTTCTCACAGAATCATTGTAAGATCATATCTGAGCATACAAATGTTTTATAAATTTATAGAGAACAAGGTCAGATGCATCACAATTGGACATTTTCCTCAAATTGTTCAGTGCTAATTCATCACAGATTTTACCAGTGGATAGAGCAGAGCAAAAGGGTGGCAGTTTCAGTTTCTGAGTTTGCTCCAGCATCAGAGATGCTCCAATTCTGAAACAAAATGCAGACACTTGAGTGTCTGTATGCTTAACTAAGTGTCTCAAAATGTGAAACTTATTAAGTATGACTAAATTAAAGCCCTTGAAAGGCCTGTGATTCATTAAGATTTTGTAAATTTTACATAACCTCCTGACCTACTGACTCCTGAACGTGTCAGAGTGGCTAACCATTAATTGTTTGTGCAGACGGCGTACCCCCTGATTGACAGCATAGACCCTCAGGGCTTTGTCATGTATCGCCTCTTCCGGGATGCCACACGCTACATGGAGGGACATCACGTGAAGGTACAGCTCATTCACTCATTCAGCTCCTGGAATTGGTTTGCAGTCTGGCGTGATTTGGCTGTGTGTGTATGTGTTTGTTTGTTGTTTGGATTGGATTGGATTTTATACACATTGCTTTTCTGGTAATGCTGTATAGTTCAGCCTCTTGCCGATGTTGCAACGATTTCATTATCTATATATAATTTCTCTCTCCTTCCCCCTCCCCATCTAAACAGCGACTTCCTAGCAAACGCCCCCTTCCAACTTCTCCATCATGTGTCCATCATTGCGACCCATGTGTTTAGCTTTGCATATCTGGAACTGAGTCTTCTGCTGTGATCTCATTGTGATGGCCTGGTTGTGCTGGTTAGCTCGTGTATTAAGCTCATTTTCAAACCTGCTCACTTTCCTCAGTAAAACTCTGCTCAGCCCCCTCCTGCGGCCCCCTTCCCTTCTCCTCAGTGACCCGGGCAGCATTATGGCGCGATGCCCCCTGTGTCTCTTCTGCATGCAGCCCTTCTGCTCCTCCATTGATTTGATTTTTTATTTTTTTTTTCCTCCCTTCCTTCTTTCTTTCTCTTTCTTGCTTCCCCCCCTCATGCAACGTCCCTATTCTTCTTTCTTCTCTCAGCAGCCCAGAACAATAGGAGTTTCTTTCCCTCCTCTCCTCACCCTTTTTTGTGCCTCATTAACCTTCTGCCTCTCTCTCCTACTTCGTTAGGCCGTCATTACTGAGCTGTGTAGAAGGCCATATTCTGTTACCTCTTAGTCTGGGGGGTGAGGGCTCTTTTGAAAGGTCTTATTGATTAAAGTCAAAGCAAACGAAATGCTTGTGAAAAATTTGTGAAAAAAATTTACCAAAAAAAATATCTGAACTTGCATTGTAGGACTACCTGTGACCCCGAAGTCAAGGGCACGTTGCCCCCAGATGCTCATGAATTATTTGTAATGTCATCTCTTTCCATGTGAATTACACAACATTTAAAACAGTACATCTAAGGCTATCAACTATTCATGAGTGTAATCTGCTGCCATTCTAGCATTTGTTGCTAGTAACAGTTACGCCTTACCTCTTGCATATTACTGTTTTTCTAATTCTGAAATAAAAGTCAGAGGCCACACTTGACCTGTTTATAAGATAAACTTTTTTGATGGGGAAATTAGTCAATTTTCACCATCATGAAAAAAGCAGAAAATATATCTAACAGAAAATTATACAGAAGCCTCAACAACTAAAATATAAAACTATTGTTCAGTATTTAGTGTGTCCACCCATTGCTTTTATTATAGCTTGCATTCTTTTCAGGAGACTTGCTTTTAGTTTTATTAAGAAATCAGCAGGAAAACTTTTCCACACCAACAAAGTTCAGTCTTAAGTGGTTTACATTTTCTGCTTCTCAAAAATCCAGTAATCCCAAAAACATTCAATGATGCTGATACATTCAGTGATGGCGTACCAGATTTTACATGGCTGTTTGGAGTCCCATTTTCTCTGTAGCTTTAAATCATTTTTTAAACTGTTTCAGAAACTTTTCATTTAGTTTTCATTGATTCTACCCTTCCTTATGCAAATAGATTGTTTTATATCTCCTCAGAAATTAATGGACATTTTGATTGGAAATTAAATAAATGAAAGGTGGTCTCTGACTTTTGCACAGTGTTGTAATTATGGGTTTATGTAAGCTTGCCTGCTTTTAAAGATGAGGAAAAGGGAGATGATCTCATTGGTATGAATGTGGGCGCTTATGACATACCTTTTGTAAAAATGTCATTTGTTGATGCTGGAGTGAGTTGTGCCTTTGCTTGTTGAGACACATATGTGTGAGTGACAGACTGTGTGTGTGTTCTGCACATGCATGCATTATCGATTGCATATAAGCGCGTGCCTGACTGCCTGGTCACATTACAGCAGTGGCTGACTGGTTTTGACCCCACCCCCTTCAAATTCAGAGCTTTTCGTCCTTCTTCTGCCCTGCCTCCTTTCTCCTCTCTTCCCCCCGACCTCCCCACCTCCCATCTGGCACTGAGAGGCAAAGTGCAGGAGGATAAAACGGTGCAATGTGATGTGTGTGTACCATTGAAATTTGAGATTTAATGATGCACTGAATCGTTTCCTAAGTAATCATAATTGACTTGAATCTTTGGTGTCGGAGATGAACACTGCTTCAAAGAAATTGCTTTTCAGATACATGTCCCTTTTATTAAACTAAAACTATAATTTGTGAGGGGTCAGTTGGTCAATAGGGTATGTGTAGATATGACACCAGTGGTGCTAGGAGCAGCAGGGGGGCAGGGGTTGGCTAGCATGTGGATTGGCAGGTGTTTAGCCTGGTGCATGTGTGTGTTTTGAGGCACGCGTCCTCTCACACTTTACTGGAGGGATTAGATCCTGACTGATACAGCAACTTGATACCCGAACACTGCTCCCCCTTTACACAACTAACAAAACACTCTAACACGCTCAAGCTTTAAAACTGTGAGCTGTGCTCATGACACCACTGACCTCAATCAGCAATACAACTGTTATTACTGTAGTCTTTTTTTTTCCTGTGCTTGATTTACAGTCACTCTGTTTTATTGTTAATGTTTTTTTAACCCCTTAAACCTGAGGAGCCTGTATGAGAAACAACACTGGAAAAAAGGGTGATGCATTGACTTGACTTGAATCAAATTTGTACATCATTTCCACATTAATGAAAGAACATACTGCACCTATACATTTCAGTGTCTTTCAGTTTGGGTTTGGAAATAATTGTGTTGATTATTGAACATGTTATTCATGTAGAAATTAACATATTCAAGGCATGTAAATTCAATGCGTCACTTTTTAGTGCACAATTCCGTTCCTTGCTTTTATAACTCAGTCATATTAGTTTTACAGTAGTTGCTAAACAGTTTACTGAACCAGTTATTGTAGTTACTGAATGTTTAGTCTCAGGTTTATAACCAAGTAATAATTAATAAGTAATAAGGTTCTGATTGGCTGCCCTGTATTGTGCCTCAAACAGTTCTTATAACTGTAATATGAATGGGAGGAGCTAAATTGCTGTAGACTATATATAAATGTTTGTTTGTTTGTTTGTTTGTTTGTATGTATGTATGTATATGTGTGTGTCCCATTCATATTACAGTTATAGGGAGTGTTTGAGGCACAATACAGGGCAGCCAGTCAGAACAGAGTTTATTCACACTCACACACACATTTATATGTGTATGTGTATTCATCTTAAAACCTGTTTTAATTCTGAGGTAGAAAAGGGGTTGGAAATGATGATGGAAAAAGTACTACTTTTTTTGGTACATAAACCCTCAACAATATTAAGTTCAAAATACAAGAAAAAATTATGATAGAGGCCCTTTTTAATACTAATATAAAAAAGAGAGAAAATTAACGAAGCATTGAGTTTGTGATGTTTTAGTTCATTTGAGCCCTTCAGTAACAGGCAGTAAGTTTCCTGTACAAAGTGCATTAACCTCGTTATTCTTGTTGTGCACTCTCTCGCACACCGGTCAATACAAACACGCACGTCCACTCCCTGTGGGCTCATGCTGCGCCTCTGAGGGAAGACAGATGCGGGTAATTTATTGTGAATCGTGCCGTGTGTGCCTGCGGGTCCACTGGGGTTTCCCTTTCGGCTGATCCATTCTGTATTTATATCTTATATCTCTCTCTTTCGAATCACTCGTTTTCCCCCTTTGCGCAGCCCCTGTATTGAGCCCCTCAGGGGGATACAGATGACCCCAGTGATAGAGAGAGTGCAGCGTCCCTGTCCATCTGCTGCTGGGGCCCACCACAGAGACAGCTGCCACAGAGAAAGTTTGTGTTTGCGCGCGTGTGTGAGGGAGTAAGAGACACTGCAGGGGTCAATGAGTGGGTGTTTACAGTTAGCACTGCATATCTCTGCAGATGCATAGGTGTGAATATGGTTAATGTCAGTGTCATTTCAGGGACATGGATGCTGAGGTCACATTTAATTTCCATTTAGGCAGCAGGTCAAAGAGGAAAGGCGATGCGTGAAGGGGCCATATCATGGAAAACTGGGTGTAGTGTGTAAACGTTGTTGTTTCAAAGCGTACCATTGACTCCCCAGGTTCATATATGGAAACTAAGCAGCAAAAAAAGCCCAGTTTGAATCCATCATTTTTGTGATGTCACAAAAACCAATGCATTTATGTATATCTGCCTATTCCGCCTACAGCAGTGCAGCTCCACCTGTTCTTGTCGAAGTTTTAAGGCATGTTTTAGCATGGACTGCTTGTGTTAAAGGCAAAGGAAGTAACAAAGACAACCTGTTTAATGCTAAGGGATAAAGAGCAGTTGGAAATGGTCATGTAAAAAGGAGTTATGACTGTTTTTGGTATATAAAAACTGTTTTGTTTTTTTTTAAGTGGACCTTATTACAGAATTAATCTGTAATTATATAAGAAATCTAAAATTTAAAGTAGTGAATGTGGTGCATAATTTTTTTTTCTTTGTTTTTTGCTCCTGTGTCCCTCTCTGTATTTCTTTCTTAAAATCCCCTTTTCTCTCTTCCACAGGATGTGTCTTGTCTGAACAGAGACACTTCTAAAGTCATTGTAGTAGACTGCAAGCGAGAGGCCTTCAGCCTGCAGCCCTTCAATGGCATGGCATTGCGCAAGTGGGATGGCAATTCAGAGGACCGCACGCTCTATGACCTTGCTGCCTTTCTTAAGAGTAAGTATGTGTGAGTAGGTTCACGAGTGACGCAACAGTTCTGCAGAGTTTATAAGAGCACAAAGTCCTGACTGTCCTCATTGAATGTGTGCAGCAATTGCGATGAGTGGTGTGGAGGATGTTCGTACTGTGCTGGAAAATTATGCCCACGAGGAGGACCCCATCGAAGCCTTTAAAAGGAGACAAGCACAACTTGCACTGGTATTTAGTTCAGTTCTACTCTTTTTGAATATGTGAGTCGTGCATTCAAGTGCATGTTTTCATAACACCATATTTTAGTGTTCTGTAGCTCACTTTGTCTTTGACATTTAACTGAATTTCTATTACTTTAACTGAACTTGTGGCTAACCCTACCTCTAACACTGTAAACCTAACCTCAACCTCAGCCCACAACCTCAACCTAACCCAAACCCTGATCCTCACACTGTTCGCCAGGTAGTTCTCAGTAGCACACAGCATTGCAGGTATCAACAATGATGACATTGGGCCTCATTCAACCGTTCTGGAGAAGAAATTTCTTCTTATAACCCACTTACACAGTTTTCACCAAGATTCTGACATTCACAAATGTTTTTTATTTGATTTGATGTACTTTTATTGATTTGATTTTCTCTTAGTTAAGAACTGAATCTATGTACACTCAAGAGCACAAAAGTGAACACCACATCATGAGTCTGATGTAGATTTTTTCATAGGACTTCTTTAAAAACAAAGTAAAGATAAAACTAAGAACATACTGGCGAATGAGGCCCATTAGGAGCATGTAGTTACACACTCAGTATCTAGATGTTTCATCACAAGATCACTGGAAAAAGTTACGTTTTCTCCAATAGTTTAAATAGTTAAATATCTCTCAAACAAGTATCAAGATTGGTACAAAACCCTGTCAGCAACTGCAGCATTACTGGTGTTATCCACATGGAAGTAAGTTCTTTGCTGTTGGGACCTAACACTGATTTGCCCTATTGGATTGGCTAATTTTTGTCTCTTCCAATTTATCAAACCCCAGAAAAACTAAAGGAATACAGGAGTTGAGTGCAGAGATCAAAAACAATCTTTTTTTTATTTTATATGTTTTGAAAAAAGCCCAAGAATTTTACTTTGGATAAAAAGTTAGAATTGATTTTATTATTCTAAAATCTATTCTAGATTCACTGCCATTTAACCACCTAATTTGTGGTAGGGCTCATAGTTTGAAAATGTAAAATAATATGTATATTAATGATGTGTATGCAGGAGGAGGAGCAGAGGCTGGCTGAGCTCTCTCAACAGAAGAAACAGGGCTTATCTTTCAGCTCCATCACCAGCCGTTTCTGGTCCCGCAAGCAGCAGTGAAGACTCTGCTCACTCGATGCCTCCAGTCGCAGTCCACGCTGGGCAGTGACTGTCCAGTGGGATGGGGCCTCGGTCACTGCAGAGGATGGTGTATCCGGGTGCTTGGGAGGGAGGGTACAGAAGAAGAGGCGAGACATGAGGGAGAGGAAAAAAATCCAACCATCCAATTCAATTCACCGAAAGGGTTCTACCATGTTTTCGAGTGGGACTGGAAAGGAGTCCTACTACTCTAATATAACATTCGGTATCTTTGTGTTGGCGATGGCATTCCCTGGACTGCACACACAGCCTACAGCCTGCCTTCGTCTGATCTCATTTTTTTTGTTTGTCACTGATGTCTGTGTTGTTCCAAGGGGAGAGCTCATACATGGACTGATTTTGGCCCACCCCTCAGATCGCTCAATGTTTCTATTTGTGCAGAACAGAAAACTACTTTAGCAGCCACACCTTGTATTGGACACAGTCTGAACTGATATGAAGATTACAGATTCCCTCTCACACTCAAGACTGACTGTAATAGCCTCAGTTTAATGCTGTACTTGGATCACCCACTATACTTTAGCAGGTGTGCTGGAGAGACTGCATCAGTGTCAAAGGATATCAGTCTGTAGTTCATATCAAGCAAAGTCAGATCAAGTGGTGAGACTGACAGGGGGTCATTTCTGCTCAAGACCAGAATGGTCCACTTTGTCTCAGTGTGCTTGTTGATGGGTCTGTGTAATGCATTTGATGTGAACCAATTAAATGACCTTCAATAAACAAAATATGTATTACTTTCTATAATCAGTCATTTTTTCCCCTACCCTTCACTGATTTTACTTAAAATATCTAAATGAATCATCTGAAGCAGACTTTGATAGGCCTGGAAAAATTTAGGATTGGCCAGGGATATATGAACCTTTTTCTTATTCCTGAAATAACGTAGCTTCTGTTTAATTTGAGAGATATGTAACTGTTGGAACAGGAAAAAAGATGAAAATGATTACCTGTTAATTGTTGTTTATACTTTTTGGTAGCTTGCGTGTGAAACTATGCAACCTACCTAGTTCCTAGGAAAGAGTGGGCTTATTGGGAAATTGGAAAACCTGTTGTCCTGGTTCCAGCTTGCTCTGCTTCACCTGCTTAATTCTTTTTGTATGTTCTATAGCATTCTTTGTCTGCTATTAAGCGGGGGAAAGTATCTTAATTGCTTATTTTCCATTTGAATGACAGACCACTGTCATTGAAATTCATCATCCTCCAGATCCACATCTGAGAAATTAAGTACAGGCAGTTTTAGTAGGTACAGCAGATGCTTGATTCCAAAACTGTGACCTTCTCTGGGATCTTAAAGTATTTATTTCTGCACCTGAACTTCAGGCCAAGCAAATATGGTACACAGGGTTACTTGGATATCATGTGACTTCATGTGACATGGAATTTGAGAGTGCTTTACATTAGTTCATAATTAATACTTACAAAATGTTATGCATCAGGATAAACTTGTGCCAATTTGCATCAGCGCTACTATAATAACTTTATGGTTGAATAATCTGCTGTGGAATGTGTTTAGTTCTTTGATTGTATAAAGTGTAATTATAGATGTTAGAAATGCCTTTCAGGTGTTTACAAGTGACATGACTACTCAGGCCTGTTTTAAAAAGACAAAGAAGTGTATTTGGGAGCTTTTATAATGAGGCTTTAAAGCCTGCACTAACACCATTTGCCTGCACTTTCCGTAACCTCTACCCACTTTACACCGTGCCTGATGGACAGGTGGACAATTGACAATTGCACGATAAGCATGTCTCTGATAGTTTGGCACAAACATTGGGAAAACCTAATCTGTGGTCAGCAGTCTCTAAGCACAAATATTCAAACAAAAGGGATTCAAGTGTTCTAATCTCTCTATTCAGGCAAGTGTTTCTTAGGTGGCAGGCTCTGTTTGCTGATGGAGGACCAGAGGTGTGAATTCTGTCAATGAAGTCACAGCTCTTAAACACTGTACTGATCCTATGTGTTAAACTGCTATTACTTCATGTTGACTAAGAGCCAGACCAAAACTGTAGGCGTGTTTCAGTTTTGCTCTTTGCAATTTTGCTGAATAGAGTAAATTAAAAGTCAAAGTGTCCTGCTTTAGAACTTTGATTGGTTCTACTTGTACTTTTAAGTGTTCCCAGTCCAAAGCCTGCTCATGACCCTGCAAAATGCAGACCTACCTTTGGCCTATGTCCAGTATTATGATGCATTTGAAGCCAAGGTATCTGCATGGTATCCAGTGTTGTAGCGCCTCACTTAGGCCCTGTCCCATTTCTTATCTATACCCCTACCCCTTGTTTTCGAGTGTCGCCTTGCCCCTTTGAACTGAGTTACAATGCATGCAATTATTGCATTCATTGTAACTGCAATTATTGCAATTGTTTTGCACATTAATAATTATTACCCTTAATTCTTCTGTAATATGAGGCTGAAGTCAGCTATTCGCCAGCTTCTCGTTCGAATTTTCCTATTCCACCTTAAATGGAGCAGCAGTTATGTTCTGGCACCTCAAGCGTCATGACTGCTGAACTGTTTAAGGTGGAACGGCAAAGTTAGCTAACTAGCTACCAACACATTAGCATACTAAAGTAAAGAAGAGGGCTAAGGGCTAAGTGGTAGGGGCAGAGGGTAAAATAGGACTGGGCCTTAGTGTCAAGACTTGATACTTGTTTTGGTGTCAAGCAGACATTAAAGCACCATTCCCAACTTTGAGAAGTTTCTGTATGTAGGCCATGTGGAAGTTCATGTCAACATGGCCCCCCTGGTATGAAAAGCAGCTGGAGGCAGGTTGGCATCAGTGATGGACAGATTTGTGCCTCTATGCACACAGTAGCAAAACAGCCAGTGTTTCTTATTTATCCTGTAACTGATAACTCAGCTCAGGTCAAAGTCTTGTTTGCACTGGAATGCGGGTTACGACAAAAATGGAATTCAACCAGTTCAAGCGTACGTTCAGAGTAAGAACAGGCTAAAAACACAAAGTCATGTGTGTTCCTCTGCCAACTAGTCATGACCGATTCAGGTGGACTACATGAGCATGAATGTTGGACCTAACTGAGCTCTGAAACTCATTTCACCTTTAGGGTTCCTTATTGATGAATTTTGTGGAAGCTGATGGGATTTCCAGCATAAGGTCACCAAGAACCTCAGCAGAAAAACCCTCATTTCTTATTGTCACTTAAGCTGAACTGTACAATGGCCAGTTCTGCACTAAGACCACATAAGACCATTAACAGGAAATTCTGTGGTCCTTCAGGTGCTTTAAGCCATCATAAGGTTAGACCACAAACACTGAGTGGTTCCACTTTAAAAAACAAAACAACAGATCTCCAGATTTAAACGTTATGGCTCAGGGAGTTTATATACTGGTGATAATGGACGAAAGGGGATCTGATCCTAGGAATGTTACCCTTACCTTTACCGAGCACCTATGACTGAGTAATTCTCTTTAATTCTCTTCAACAAGACAGAATCACTGTGTCGCAACCACAGTGACAGTTTGTACTCTGGCCTGATGTCCTTCAGCACAGTTAGTGTTTTACCCAACCCTGTGGAAATGATGGAGCCAGTTTGTGGCGGAGAACGAACACAGAAACATTAGAGGCGTCCGTTTTGTTCGCTTCAGCTTTTGTTTGCAGGTGCCATTAATTATGAGCGCGACTTCTTCACCTTCTGTCCATCTTCTGTCGCGCTCCTTCTGTGAGTCATCAAGGGTCAAACTTTTGCTTTTGTTTTTCGTTTTTACTCCCGGCGCTTCACACGCTGCCACGTGCCACAGTGACCTCGAGCGCACACGTCACAGCGGAGTCTGACCGCGAGGCATTTTAGACCTTCAATCTCATTTTATCTCCAACAATTACTTTAACTGTGAAAATGAGATCGCGGCTCGTTCTGATCCGACTAACGCCATGAAAGCTCGGATAGCTTCCCCTTTAATGAAGTTCTATCAGTGCCACAGGTCTATTTTAGTTCTTTACCTGTCATCTCGACACTTTTATTCACATTCAAATTGGGATTCGTTTTCTTAAAATCTCTGTGAGCGCGAGAATCATATGGTACAAAACAATATAAACAACTCTTTAGTCACCTGGTTATATATATACACATACACACACGTATATATGTATGTTTATGTGTATAGATAGATAGATAGATAGACTCTTACAACATGGTTATTTATTAAACGCAGTGGTTCTATGTAGAACCATATGATTCAAAGAACCCTTTTACTTCATGCTTTAGTAAAAGCAATGGTTCCATTTAGATCCATGAGTTTTATACAGAACCATTTCATGCTTAAAGTTCTTTGCATGGTGAAATGGTTCTTCTGATGGAGAATGTGTTATATATGCATCTATATAGAACCTTTTTGAAAATGGAAAAAGGGTTCTTTACGTTTGTGGGCTTATGTGCTTCTATTTAGCACCAAAAAGGGTTTATTTATGATGTCAAGCTTGCAACAATAGAAGAACCCTTTTTAGTGCTATATAGAACCATAGGCCCATACGCTTAAAGAAAGTGGTTGTTCAAGGGTTCTTTAGTAAAGACAGTGGTGCTATATAGAACCATAAACACTCAAAGAACCAATAAAGGGTTCTTTGCATCATGAACGGGTTGTTCTGATTGATGGAGAATGTGCTGTATATCATTCTATACAGAACCTTTTGAAAATGGATTAGGGTTCTTTACGATGTCAAGCGTGTGACAATAGAAGAACCCTTTTTGGTGCTGTATAGAACCATCTTTAAGTATGTGGGCCTACATGGTTCTATACAGCACCAAAAAGTGTTCTTTATGATGTCAAGTTTGTGACAACAGCAGAACATCATAACTCGTCGTGACATCGTAACAATAGCAGAACCTTTTTGGAGCTATATAGAAGCATCTACAGCACGCTCTCTGTCAATCTGAAGAACCATGCAAAGAACGCTTTAAGCATGAAATAGTGTTATGTTGAGCTCATGGTTCTAAATAGGTCCATTCCCTTTACTCTTGAACCCATAATAAAGTCTTAATAAAGCCATTATTTTACTCGGCTCCAAAAATAACGTTGTAGACCAATTAAGATGACCTGTAATCTGTCTTTCCTCAGTCAGAGAGAATACAGTATGAAGCAGCTGACAGTGGAATAAACCGTTTATTACTGTGTTCCTCACTGCTTGGTGACCCGGGCTACCTGTTTAGTTAAATGTCCCTCTTTCAGCCTAACCTGTGTGGAGCTGGGCTTCAGTAAACCCTGCTGACCTGCTTATTTGTTTTCCTCTGCATTCCACTGTACGATTAAGCAGCGTGTAAACCGTGTCATCATTGTCAGCTCTGCAAAAGGCAACGTGCCAGCACCATGCTTCACCAAACTGCTGCCCGACGGGCTGAACAAATGTGTGTGACACATAAGACTATGGCGCACGTGGAGCAGAGAGGGAGAGAGAGACTGTGTGTTTGTGAGAAGCAGTGTGTCTCGAGCTGCTGGTGTCGCTCGTCACACCTCGGCAGAAGGCCGATTCACATTTATGGGCGCTGCGCCTTCTGCCGCTGCTTCACACCTCTGCAGCAGCCTGCAAAAGTGTGTGTTCCGCTCGTGCTGATCGCGCCCCCCCCTCCACCCCCCACCCCTCACCCCCTCCTCCTGCTGCTCCTCACCTCAGTGCAGACACACGTCACCGCGGCAAAAGGCGACGGCTCCTGCACGTCTGGCGTTGGGCACGTGCACGGACGATGCCCTCACACTTTAAAGGGGAAATCCACCTAGTTTTCAAAAAG